AAACACCAGGTAGCATGATACATTGTAGAACATATTGAGCATAGCAGCGCGCCGTGTGTAGATATGGATGCAATCACGGTGACGGTGGCGAAGGCGGCGGAAATGGGAAGAATTGACTACTACCGTGTGCTACTGTCTTCATCCTGTCGGGCCCGTAGTGGTTGCAGCTGGGTTAGGTCGGATGCGTACATCTTCTACGTGATCTAGTCCGAGACTCTCGTCAGAATCGATAGTCTGATCAGGAGCACTATCTTCGCTAACCTAAAGAATCACGTGGAACAATAGGAACGATAAATTCATTGCATTACCAGGGCCAAAGAAAGATAAAGTAAATGGGAGAAAGACTTGGCACTTGACACACCACAGTCTGCACATAGCAGTACAACACAACTCTCCAGAATGAAACAAATCTGTGTTGTGTGCCAATTTATGGGACCTTCCACTCGGTGACATCGCTGGTCAACGTACAATTTTAAGGCAATGTCCGTGCACTTCCTGACCCACTATGAGGTTCAGACCGAGCACAAACTTTCGTCCCGCATATCCACGAAGGACAGTAGCTGAGTCTCTTAGAGGTAAAAAATAAGCACTGAAATAAGCGCTGAAACTACCATTTCACTATCACCCAAAGGTGAGGATTCTATTGGTTACCGATGACACTAGATAACACACAGATGAAACCTTTTCAATTTTATTAGTGGTACACCTTGATATTTTAAATATCGACGAAAGAGTAGCCTTTGCGTGGCTCATTCAGTTGGTGACTGGTGTGAGGGAGATGTTTTAACGCCTCATGTTAATAGCACTTTAGTTTGCAAATGAAAAGTGCGCGTTGGCGGGAATGAGCTTGTGGGCGTCCGCTTTGAATGGTTCATACATCTATGATCTTGAGACCTATCGTGTGAGGTGAGGCCCAGAGCCGACGGGTTGCAGAGAAACTAAACGTTGTAGGCTTCCCAGAGAGTATTCGTGCATCTTTTATTCCATGACCAAATTCACAGAAGTTTTCATTAAAGTTGAAGGCATGTGGAGCCTTAGACCGTGAAGCCATAACCCTTAGCACTGGGTCACGTGGGCCGACGAAAAACAAAACGGCTATGTTTTAACGCCTCATGTTAATAGCACTTTAGTTTGCAAATGAAAAGTGCGCGTTGGCGGGAATGAGCTTGTGGGCGTCCGCTTTGAATGGTTCATACATCTATGATCTTGAGACCTATCGTGTGAGGTGAGGCCCAGAGCCGACGGGTTGCAGAGAAACTAAACGTTGTAGGCTTCCCAGAGAGTATTCGTGCATCTTTTATTCCATGACCAAATTCACAGAAGTTTTCATTAAAGTTGAAGGCATGTGGAGCCTTAGACCGTGAAGTCATAACCCTTAGCACTGGGTCACGTGGGCTGACGAAAAACAAAACGGCTACTTCTCTCGAGAAATACACTCATTTGCAAATCAACTTGGTTTTCATAAGAGACTTCACTGAATCTCTCGTGTATGACATTCTACAACTGAATGTGTTGCACACAGCCCGCCTCACGTTTCAGTTGGCACGATATTCGAGATATCGCAGTATATTTTTATGAAGGAAACTACTCACAAGGTTGCTGAGTCGAAGAGTTTTCAGGAACCTTGTGAGTAGTTTCCTTTATGAAAAAAAACCGCTACACTCCTAAATCAGTGGCGCACAATGAAGGCAAAACAAAACGGACGATGATTTCGGTAAGGGCGCCCGACTCAACTGCGTAAGTGCACTAATTGTGAGTTTAGTACCCTGCCCTCATGAACTGCTGAACGGTACACCGGAAGTTCGTAACGTTTCACCATACTGTGGAATTGATCAATGGCAAAAGTGAGGTTGAAAAATAACTAGGTGATTCAAAGCAACTTGCTTTACACTCCAATTTGTGTCCTAACTCCTTAATCGTGATGGAACATGTTCCCACCGCACCAGCAGTGAGACCGTGTAGGTATGTGAAGTGAGTCAGTCGGAGCCTCAAGTACCCAGAGAGCAAGTGAGTGGTTGAATCGATAGTTTTACACTTGCGCTTGTGAACCATTAACAGTTATCGTGGCCACGAAACGAAAAGTGAAATTTTTTAACTGAACATCCTTTGGAGTAGAGTGAGACAGATTCTAACTGCTATTACGGTACGCTGCGACCTTTCGACAAAAACCGTGCAGGCAGGAAACAATCGATTATGTCTAGGAAACCAACCAAACAGATTTTCACGTATGGAATTTAGGACATTTGTTTTTCTAGAACGATATTAGTTTGGAAAATGCCAAAATACTTTTACTGCGGGGGGTCCAAAACATAAATAGGCAATATACCGATCCAGCACAATTAGAGGTTCCTGATTCACAACTGGTAACTATCAGTACCAATCAGAAAAGAGAGTACTGACGGTCCGAAACCCTATAAAGCAGTTCAGGTAAAACGCGTTCCTAATAACCTAGAAGTTGGTGTCTGATGATGATTACTCAGGGCCACCATGATTTTCTGGCCCAAACAACGACTTCAGACCTAGTGGAGAATTATGTCCTGCTTTCATGAAGGTTGATGAATAAAGTCCGGATTCGACCGAAATTTGACTAATCAAGTACAGCTAATTTGTGATGCACCCTTATTGGACACCCTACCACAAACGGGGAGTAGTAGTGTGCGTGCCAGTATTGTCTGAAAGCGATCCAACTAAGATAGACCACTAGGGTGAAAAATACCATTTAATTTATAGACGTAATACACTAATCATAAGGTTGTTGGAAACCCTTCAACAGCCCACGACCGGTTTCGCCCTTCTTGGGGCTCATCAAGTAGGCTCAGTCCCCAAATTTCCGCGAACCTTACGTTCTACTTGAACCCAAATTGCACGAAATTAGCAAAATATAATCATCTGCATACCAACCTTATGAGTGGTGTATACAGTGTATTACGATATCTCGAATATTGCACCAACTGAAACCTGAAGCAGCCTGGCACAGCACATTCAATTACTTAAAAATGTCATAAACGAGGGATTCATATGGATTCCAGGTGAGTCTCGTCAAAACCAAATTTGTATGCAAATGAGTCTATTTCACCATTTAATCTCTCTTTTCTGGTGCGAATAGGTCTCGATCGTACGGGGACCGCGCACGAGGGCATGGGTGCCAAGGAGAGCAGACCACCCAGGGTAACTTTTCGGAAATGTTTATTTCACACAAGGTTAGATATACTACGTACCAAACTTTCATATATATTTGTGTACATTCGCCGAGACAACTTTATGGCAGTATGGGAAGTATGGCAACTTCCGCACGAGTGTTGCGGGCTTAGTGCAATTATTAGTTTGAGTGGCGTCTTACAATTTGTCGAGATTTAAGACAAGGAGTCCCTTGGGGTGTGCTATGCGCTGGGACATTGAATGAGAGCTAGCCTAGACGGGGACATCATAAACGCAGCTGGAGTTACAGAAGACAAACACAAAGACAGGATAACAAGCTGTCGTTAAAAACCTACGTTGAATCTTTAGGATAGGACGAAAGCTAATGAACAATATTACTCACAGAATAATCTTTCAAAACTTCTGGTATATCCTCGTCATCCTCAGCCTCATCAACGTCCGAAACATCGGAAGGTGGTCGCCGGCTGGACTTTGCGTAGACACGGATGACCGGCGACGTACTGGATCGACCCCCACGGTTGGAACGCTCACTGGCAACGATAGAGTTCGGCGTGATAGTCCTCACCACGCCCTCGATGGGATGATGACCTGAATCTGTGGAATGCAGCAGTGCTTCATTTGAGGAATGTTGAGGTTGTTGTTCCGCCCCGCCACGATGACTATCGGCACTTAATGTCCTCCGGGAACCCAGTGACCGTGGACTGCAGACATTCAGTTATAAAGAAAGAAAGAATGACAGATGTAGCATTATTCGGTCAAGCTGATGTTCATACACCAGTATGAGCTAACGAACCTGCTACAGAAGCCGATGAATACAGATGAAAACGGTAAGTTTTGTTATCAATATAATGCTACCAAGATATACGACGGGCATCGTTACAACCTATTAGTCGGAACTGGACGTTAGTAAAGCAAACTTCTTCTATATTCCACAGCCCGCATACCATGAGGGTGTGATATTGTCAACACTAATAAAAACCCGCATGTCACTGCGTCCGGGTAACCATGACATTACATTTCCTCAACTCACGACCAAGCCAAGCACAACAAGACTGCGAACACAAAACGGAACCATTGGTTGTGAACAAGCTGTAAGCTGCATAATGAGGTTTACTGGTTTCAGCGACCGTAGTTTTGCTGACTGATTGTGTGGAAACTAAGGAGATGGCTGTAGTGAATGCAGCAACCCGATTGGGTTCAATACATACAGTCGTAGTGGAAAGGTACCTGTTTCCTTGTTGAGAAGGGTGTCCGGAATAGGTGTGTTATAAGCACCGGCTGTAATAGAAAGGTGCCATTGAATACATGCCTGGGCGATGTTCGCCAGTCAACCTACATTTGTACCTAACCTATCCTACGGTTCTCACTCAAGATAACAGAGAAGATTTACAATCCGATGAGATCACTTACAACAGATGAGTCCTTTTGCTCAAAAGCCTTTAGTGGTCCATGAGGTTCGAAAAGTGTTAAGTAAAAAAAAGTTCACAAATTCAAATGACGACATTTCTATTAACATAAAGGATAGGATATGCTAGGACGTAGGTGGATTTGTCAAAGGAGAGATAGGACCCCTAACTAAGGAACCTAGCGTCACTGAAGAACAATTCTGTTCTATTCTCTGCTCTTGAGCAAACATTCTGCTACCACGTGATATGCAACATCGGATACCGCACTGACTAAATCAAGCGAAAGTAGGTGAGGAATTCGAACAACTGCGAGTTTCACTGAGCACCTGAAAATAAAAAAGGGGTTCAAGTTTTACTTTCGAGGATCAGGAAAGTGCTGCCGTCAGACGATTCCTGAATCCTTTTCAATGCGTTGTCGGGTGCGCTTTTGAACACATGGGTAATTTCGGAAATGTCATCCGTACCAACGTCCAAACCAACAACAACGAAAACATCGGCCAGTTTACCTCTTGTTCCATTAAGGAAACGATACAGCTTTATGCTAGAATGAACTGTGCACGCCGGAAGCTCCAGATGCTGGACGAAGACCAGAATACCAACGAAAAGATAAGAATCAAAGTAACTTTTCTACCAGAGTTCATTAATGAAGCTCGTAATCACCATAACAGGACGTTTTTCTCAACAAGACCACCACAGGGACTAGATATTGATCATTAAGGATCACCTTGATAGATTCACTTTTAAGGCTGCATTCCCATGGGAGCACAAGCTCCGTTCATGCAACGGCGTTCCCAAAGCTCCTAATGACTCAACTCCCATCCCCCTCCCTCAAAATCAAGAATGCGCTACATCTAAGCTGTTGGAATATCCTTGATATCAGAAGCCGGTCCCACTACGTGAAGTCTTCAACTAACAAGTCGACTCTGCTTGACTCACAACGGCACTGACACTCAGTTTCAATTCATGGAGCACCAAAGTCCCGAGGATGAAATCCTTCTAATGGATGCAGCACCACGGCCAACTTCGGGACTAGATAACGTTTTCACTGCCCTATGCAACTGCGGCTACGCCATCCTAATCTCTTCGGAGACAGTATCCTTCCATATGATCACCACAAATTCTACACCCCAATTCATTCCTCGACCTTCCTGTTCAGTATTTCGTCGACGCGCTACAAGACCGTACACCCAGCTTTCATGTCGGTGAGTAAACCGCAAGCAAATTTAATTCATCACCTCTTAGGAAGCTGTAGAAAGCTGAGTACTTGATTAACTCGGACACTTACAACTGTCTCATGATATGAAGCACATGTTCTCGGCACTGGTGGCACCAACTTGAGTGACAGTTCAATGACAGCCAGAGGTTTCCAAACGTTCTACATTCTAGAACAAATATCCTCTGTTTAAGACTATATGTTCTACCATGGTTTCACTGAGAATAGACGTGCATCAGAACGTAAGCTCGTACGAGCAAGTTTCAGACTTCGTCTTACCGTTCAGCATAAGATAAGACGTGCACAACGGATTTGTGTGTCCCTTCTCAAGACCCGGCAATGCTGACACCTTTCGGGCGAGACATTATGCTCCAGGTCAACGAATAATCTTTGCGAAATCCTAAGTAAAATGATCATGAGTTACGACAAGACGTCCATCACGCATGATGTGGCTCCCCCCACGATATAGCGTCAAATTCGATGCCCCTAGTTAAAGGGTTTGGGCGGAAATAGACAGGCTATTGCGGAACAACAAGGCTCCAATTGAAAAGGTCATCCTAACAGCACCTGTTACAAACTTTTCTATTCAATATAAGCCATCACAGTTTTCCAAGTGGAATACAATGAACAAAGCACTCCACCACTCCATGAGCGCTCATTGGCGTGGCTGAGAATTCATGGGCAATGCATTTGTCTCTCGGAAATAAAATGAAAAGAGTTCAGTTCAGTCGAAAAGACGTCAAGAGACTGTTTAGCTAAAGTCAACGAGTACCAGTGTGAATGTTTCGGTATCGTCAAAAATAATGGAGCCAAATGCCTTTTCACTTTCCACACGCCTTTCAGTTCACACATCCTTGGATCACGCAGGTAAATGTAGGATGGACTATTTTCTTCCCGAACACCCCATTTCAAGCCTCATGGTGCTACGGAAGTTCAACATTCATAATTTCGATGGTAGTGTTCCTAAGTTTACTTCAGATAGATGGGGTTTTGGCATAAATTACTAACTCTACTTTTCGACCGGTCAACAAGTAGGTCTCATTTTCAGGGCAAGTACAAGTCTATTATTTCGTGGAAAAACACCACGAAGCCGACAGTTTCAGGCCAGCTGAATTCGGTATTGAACGTCAGTCGTGAATTTCATTGACATACATGGTCGACAGCTGAAAGTAAATGGTTCTGTCGCTGGAATCTGTCCGAATACATGGGTGTGAAAGTTAACCAACACACCAGCTTCGGTTAATCAGGGAGTTTGAATTTACCACTGCATAATAAATGATGTTTTCCATGTGATGATAAGTATAGGGACAGTTGATGGAATAGGAAGATGAAATACCGAATGACAAGTAAAAGTGAAATGAATTTTGGGTCAAGGGGAAGTAGCAGAGTACCGGAATCAAGTAATGAGACGCCCAACACAAAGAGGATATTAGGGTCCATAGAAGCCTCTCGTGTTTGTTGTCATTTGTGTGAGAAGTGCATTTCGAAAGAGAATAGGAAACATTTCAAGCATAAGTATATCGGATATTCTACACACGTGAAAATTCAACTTGAGGTTCGCTAGATTATCATATAAAACTGGGGATTCGACCAATGCCCCAGAATCGATACCCTCAGGTTAGACAATTCTAACCAGGCCCCATACCTTGTCCCTATTTGTGGGGACATTGTGGCTCGTAGGAAAAAAGCAGACACCACCAAGAACATTACTAGGGAACTCGGTGGTAATCAATGATAGAGGATAATTGGCTACGCTGAACCAGAAAATCACCTCTCCTAACCACGCACTTATCTTTCAGACAGCCCAGGATTTAGACAGGTATTTGGTTTCCCTTAAAAAGAATCACAGAAAATGTCGGTGGGCGCCCACGTACACACAAGCAACACTACAAAAGGCGGAACATTTGTATTCTTTGGAAACCGAAAAGTAATATCCGTGCGTTACGCCCAGTGTGTCACAAAAACGGTCTTTTACACCATGAGCTAGAGACTGTTGGGGCATAAATGAAATGGACAGTTAGAAACCGCCAGTTCGTTATGGAGGCAACAGACACCAACACGGCTGCGACAGGGCGACTATGAATAGTATCCTAATCATGCAGAAATCCTTTAATGAGGTGACGAGCAAATGCCGACCACGGGGAGACGGCCTCTGCACTGTCAGACTTGAGCAACCCGAAAAAAAGGGACAGTGAACTCAACATAGGCAGGGCACATGAACGTGACGTGAGTTCAACGTATAAAAAACACCTGCTGGCTTGCTTATTTCACGGTGAGGAAAGTAGTGTCGGGAGGTGAAGACTGGTTTCAAAGTGTCTAATATTATGGTTACGGAGGAAATTATTTTGCGGGAAATGGCGATGGATTGTACCACGCTATCATTCCTCACGGAACATCGGAAGAAATTACCAAGAACGAGGTTGGTGGGAGAAGGAAATATACAGAAAAAAGGAACTTCGGATATACTGGGATCTGGCAGGTAAAATCTAGTCTCGAAACCCCGGAAATCTCCATTACAAACTTCCAAATTTTCTTCCAAACGATTCATTCGACGACTTGCAACTGAAAAGTCATCACTCCAAGGAGCCAACGTGGTGCTGAGCTCGAAATAGCTCAGTGGTTGAGGCGTTATCTTCCTGACCGGAAGACCCGTGGTTAGGACCCAACCCCGGCATGTCGACTGCTTTTGTCTGGGCATGGGTAACCTGGAAGTATCTCGACCCTCTTGTGGCATGGCAGCTAGGCACCAAAAGAGAGTTAAAATTGAATAATTATTCTATTATTTGACCACGTGGTGCGGACTCCGTGATTGATGGATGAGTGGAGTTACATCCTGCCCAAGTGCAGGTTACTCACACTGCTGATTAGCCGGTCTTGGCTGAACGGCTAAGTGTTCAAACTGCTAGGCGGCAGGCTAAAGGTCCGAAACTGTCTGGAGTTTCATCAAATGCACACTACCGATGAGTCTCAATAAAAATAAAACGGCTGTACTGTGCTTCTCGGCTTTCCAGTATAGACAGACTTCGTTTACAGGACTAGAACTGGAACCTTGGTCATCTAGATCTCGATCTACAGGAAACTAGCTAAAAAAGCAGTTTGCGGGAAACGGAATATCACTTCACTTCCAATTACTTTGGCTCTCCTAGAGGACTGACGAATTCAGCCATAAGCGGATCAGCGAGTGATATGAAGTGATAAACGATTAACCACTACAACACTGCATTCCAACAAATAAGCCGCGCTCTGGCGCAAAAATTCGTTCCACCAGTGACTTATGTGCGTGTGGGTGAATTTTAGTCTAGTCAGGGGCGCCGGTCGATAGACAGCATGACTTGCTAGGACCATTAATGAAAAGTGGCAATCACAGTTAACCACAGCATACGCGCACGTGAAAACACGCAGCGCGCTGCCCCCGATGGCATACATGCTGAAATATCGACTGCCGGTCACATTCCGAGTCGGGGCGTACATTCACCGTCTTTCAAAGTTTCCAAATGATAAAGATCGTGGATACTTCGCCAAGGCAGCTGATTTGGATGGGGCAGGATAGAATTAGCAACTATGCGCCGGTCAGTGGGTGGATATGTGAATATGCCATGTTTACGCCTATGTGATAATGACCAGTTCGAATATACATGCTTTGAAGTAGTTCGACATGACGAAGTCTGCCAATAGACCGTGTCGAAATATGGATAGGCACAGGTGCTTTGTGCACACATGTCTTGGGAATTCGAGTAGATGACACGCATGACCTAGTCACCCATTCTACAACACATATGGGAGACAACACTTCTGATGTTGGAGGGAGATGAAGGCTGCGCGTACAATATGTTTCACCTGTTCCATCAAGGTAGCTCTGCGATCCAAACATTGAAAGAGCAGGCGACCGGAATAGGCAGGAATTAATCGACAACATGTAAGCCAAAGAGGACGTTACGTTGAAATACATGTTTCGATGATGATTAATACAAGGACAAACCTACTCTACAAATGTTCGAACAGATCTTTGTGAAATTAAGGGCAAAAAGATGCGTTCCAATGATCGATCACTCATGACAAAATGAATGCACTAATCGCGAGGAGGAACTAGTCTAGATAGCCGAAGCAAAAAATCAACAACTGGTTCGCTTGTTTGCACAATAACTGGAACGTACAGCACGAAAGAGGAGAGGCCCTGACAGTGTGGCAAGGGTGCTGATCAAGGAATACACTAATTGGTTAAACACCGATGAGAAAATGTCCACCGTATGTAGGCACGGCGTGCATTGACGTTTTTAGGCCACGCTAAAGCCGTAAGCCAAAAATACGTCACGTGGTGCAGGCACAGAGTAACTTACGACACTTCGTAGAACACGCAAAGTTGAAACGAGCGTATTTGTGTGCATGAGAACACGTGTCACGAGACAAACAACCTAAAGCACGAGGTGATTGAACCATACTGACTGAATGTAACTTGTCACGTTCATCAATGAAAACGCATGCCCGAACCCGCAGCAATCACGGC